GTTAATGAAATTTAAAGATATTCGTATAATACGCATAACATATTCATAAAAGGTCCCTACAAGTATTTGAATGTTTTCGCGAGCCAATAGAATCATAATAGCCGTGTCTCGGTAACTGCTAATTAAATTTCAACAAGTTTCGCGTGCTATACACGATACATTCGTAAAAATTTTCTACCGTACATGTTCGAATATTTTCACAAGTCGAGTACCTGTTGCCAGAGTACATTCGATGTTTCAGCTAGTGTACAAGATCATCTAGCACGATACCAATTTGCCAATAAACCAGATTTTCCGGGGTCGTCTGCCATCAGACATCGTCGTTTTGAGTGGTGAATGAACGAAGGAACGAACGCTTCGATGATCCTGTGAGTCCCTTTAGCCGTGAGCCGAGCTCCCCACGACGAGACGAGCAACGCATTCCACGAGGTCGTCCGCCGACGATCTGCATTCGCAGAAAAGGACGAAGAAGCCGAGGAAGCGAGCAAAACGAATTAGCATCCCGATCGTCCGGAGGAGTTTTCTCTCTTTCGCTCCATCCTCCTTCACTCTCCTCCTCCATTCCCCTCGATCTCTGTTTCTCCTGTACGATGCACTGGTCGGTCCCCAACGTTCCCTTTCCACGTCACTTCGTAGTCGGAAGACTACGCGAGAGCGTACGCACTTTCTTACGCGCGTGCACAAACAACGGGCAAAAGGCAAGGCGTAGTCTGCACACGGGTTAACCACATAAATCACCGACCTTTCGATGGCTCGCGAACGACTCCTATAGATGGTAATAATACGGCTGGGCCTCGATCTATCGGCGCGGATTTAAATGGCGCGCGCCAGGCCGTGACTCTTTCGTTGCTTTCGAGTCATGGGATTTCGCGACCGTGGGACGACTTATAATTTATAGTATGTTTTAGACTTTGATATTTATCTTTGGATAGCAGGTTTCTGGCGTGGATGCGGTCATCGACGCGTTGTTGAAATAAATACGACAACTAACGAGCTTTTTAAATGACTGTTCTTGAGATACGGACACCCGATGGTATCGGTTGATCGGTATTTGACTCGAAGATTGGCAATTTTGATTCTTGACTAGGTTACGTTATCGTTTAATAACGAATTAATGGTAAAGCGGATTTTAATTTCTTTTGGAAAATTATATTTATAAATTTATAAATTTGAAATACGATAAGCGTAATAGTAATTTGTGGCATATTTTCTCAGCATACATTTACGTGTAATATATATATATATATAGTTTAATACTTGTCTTAGATAAGATACGAAACTTTTATAATAACGTCCAATCTTCGTTTATTTCGAAGGATCGTATTGAAGTTTCTCTGGACATAATACGGAACTGTATATACACAACAGTTTTCGAAGTATCCCGACTCCCAACATTTATTGCCGTACGTTCGTTTCAATAATATATTAGATTTGTCTTATAGTCACTTTAATCTTTCCTAGACTACACACATCGTTAAATCTAGTTTAAACTACTCTGACATGTGTCGTCGATTTAACGTCGATGTTTTGACATCCTATGGACTCGTATTTGAACATACGATTAACAATCATAGATATGCGAGTAGAACTATACCTAAACGCTAATTGCAGAACAATTTCCTAGTTTTCTGACTGACGAGTGGAACTGTTTTTCGTCGTTTGGAGACCATAGGTCAAAAACGATACAAGCGATGACGCCTTTAATTTAAAAGACCCGTAACCGAAGTTCAAAAGGAACAGAAAAACCTGCATATTTCATGCTCCAAACATTATAACACGTTACTTATAAATACTTTCTATAATTGAACGACAGTACAAATCTTCCGTATCATTTGTCGTAACTGTTTATCTTTATTTATTAATTTGTAAAAAAGGAAATGCCTGTGCTGGGTATTCGTTGAGTTTCTGAATTATTCTTCGATGATCGAGAACGAAAATATTCCGAGAAGAGTAACTTCGTGAGACGAGGACAAGTCGGACAAGCCTCCGCCAGCCGGCGTATCTTTAGCGAGACATTCTTTATGCGCGCGTAACGTCTCTTCCTTCTAGATAGAATTCTATTTTTAAATTGAACGCAATAAAGTTTAACGGGCGCTCGCAACGTTATCGGTACGCGCTCGCGCTCTCCTCCGCGTATGTAAATGCACGATTACCTCCCCTCCTTGGTTTTCTCCTGCCTCCATGGCTGTCATCGATTCCGTCCTTTGCGCTCCTACGCGGAAACCTTCGCGCCTGTGGGAAAACGACAAATCGACGGGACGCACGCCGCCTCTGCCCACACACGCAACCAACCTTTTCCTATCGCGAGCAATTCGCGAGAACCAGATATCGAACAAGCGCAGAATTTAGTTTTCTAGCATAGAACAAAAATTAATTTTAATTTTTATCGAGATAAAGAAGTAAAGGGTAAAAACACGATAAATTGGATCTTAAATCTAGTAATTTCTATCTACAATTGGACAATGTATCAAAGTCTTTTTCTATCTTCTCCAAAAATTCACCAAAATCAGCATACAATGTCAACCGACGATGAGTCTCTAGAAAATAACCTACCGCAATGTTCGATGCGTTTGTAAGCAATCAGTTTGCAAATAGGAGAGGATATCTAAATTGCAAAATCGATACTGTGAAACAGTTTCGTGAAACTACATTTATTTATTTCAACAAACTGATAAATGTATTTCGAGCGTATCTGGACGCACGCGCCAAAGGCACAAGAGTGCAAGGATACACGATACACTAGAAACAAGCACGCCTCTATGGTTCTAGCTACGGCAATTTTCCCATACAATACACACAGCCATTCTATGCACACTGCACGGTGCACAAGCGTGCTTAAATCTCTCGTATACGGTAAACGTAGCGGCTAGAAGCCGCAAGCATAAAACACACTAAGCGAGAGTGAGAAGGATAGAGAAATCTTCGGAATAATACGTGCGGGCACCAACACGTACATACACGTTTCTAATGCGTAGTAGACGAATGCCTCCTTCGGACAGGTCACATACATATAAATGTCAAGATTCACCTATACCTTTTTTCTCTCTTCTGTAACCCTCCTTATTTCTCCTAGCCACTCACACATTCAATTTACGGAGGATAGGATAGACGTCTGGAGTAAAGAACACGTACTCACGGATACGTGTAGCTTCCACGTATTGTATATCGTTCCTCTCCCGAGCGTATTCCGCTCTTCGTGTTTATGTAGCTGTCTCTCTTTCTCGCCTATTTTCCTTCTCCTCGGTACTTCGCGTATCCTCCAGCACTGTACATCGCGCTGAAACGATTCGCAAGCGGGAAGAACAAAAGTGGGAGAACCTGGTTACCCCCACTTCGCCCCCACCTTGACGCCTGGTCACGTGCTGCGCGACACGAATGCGCAGGTAGGCCGATTGGAATTTCGTTTAGCGGCAAACGCGAATTGTCCTGTCGTGTGTTTAGATATTTTCGCGAAGCTTGTAAACAGGTGTCGCCGTTTTTAAATTATTTGAAAGTGTACGCATTCGATCGTGTTGTACGTTTATGGATTTCTATACAATTTACGAATATTACAATCGTAGTGTAATAATAATTTATCTGAACTTGTCGACAGATAAACATTACTAGCCACGTTTATTCATTCGAGTATATGTTGCTTATGTTATGGAATACGGGTGACAGCTGCAGGTTGCAGATAACTTGTCTTTTCCCCATAGTTGGACAAATTAGTACATAATCTTCGAGCAATTACGCGAATGCCTGTTGCGTCGTATTTGTTACAAACGAAACTTTCTATCGTTAGAAAATTTTTCTTCGTTCGAAGAAGATATGAAAGAATCCTTACTATCTTTATTGAAAGCAATTTTATTTGATTAAAGCAAAATTGAAACATAATTCAGAAAAAAATTCAGGAACCACGACAGGGTTAGTACAAGCGCCAACTATAAATCATTTTGTTGCAGCAAAAAGGCGCATTAGAATTTCGACCTTCGAGTTCTACGCGTTGCACATTGAGCAAAGGGGGAGGGGGAACGACTCTTTTGGCCCTGTCTATGCACTCGAATCGTTTGAGCTTAATGCGAGTATATAAGTACGTGTGCATAGTGTTTCCTTGGCGTAGTGGTACGTGGACAAAAACGGACTGCTCGATCCGTTAGGTAGTGGTTTCTCTGCGGTTCTTCCAGGGAACACAGTCCACGTGTATACGTATATGAACGTAAAGTCGGTTCTGGGTGTGAGAACCGTGTAGGTGGCTCTCATAGGAGGAGAACGAGGAGGAAGCGGGCGAGCTGACGTTCCAGCCTGACGCCGCGCCGGGACGACCTGCGACCAAACGCAGCAAACTGAGAGGGTGAGGGCGGAGCATCTCGGCGTCGACCACGTATTTCTGCGTCACCGTTTGCATTCGTAAGACGCGACCGATTGGAATCGGCCTCCGAGCTACAAGGATTTCGAAAAGGTTCTACGTCGTAATTGAGTTATGAAACTATGAAGCTGTGAATCTGGCTTTCTAAACGAGTTCGTTCAACCCCCATCGCATTATCATTTCTTTAGCGGATAATTAACGTCTTCGGGTTTATGGTTGTAATGTTATGTTTGTCGTGCAGTAATTTAATATTCCAACCGTGTAACATTAGGTGGATGGGTTTTATATCATTAATTTACTCTAAATACGAAGGTAGAAGCTTTTTAGAAAGCCTTATACTAAGAGGAAGGGCTGATTTAATGAATAGAAAACTCGTTTTATATGGAAGATTTGGTAATTTTGTAAATACCAGTACATTTCGGTAGGCTGATAGGTCGATTAAGGTTTGAAGATTTGTTGGAATGGAAACGGAATCTGTGATTTTCATGGGATTTCATTCGCGAAGTTTTTAAAACAATTCTTAGGCTACAGCGTACTTTCCATCTTACAAATTCTTTATTCAAATGTAAGACATGGTATTTCTAGATTTTTCTAAAGGAACTTCAATCATATATGTGCTTGTATAAAAACTAGGTAGTAAATTTATTCTCCCACATACGTGAACATACTTATCGAACAAAATATATTCTACTACAAGTTAAAACTGGTACTCGTAAAACTTGCATACTTGCACTCAGAGTATGTTTTAAGACATATTGAACGAATAAGGAATGCTTCCGCCATAATTATATACTATTATTATATAAAACCGTGTGAGTAAAATGATAGTGAAAGCCCTAACTGCTTCATTGTTCGCCGATCCAACGTGTCGATAAACGGACAATAAAAGAAAGTTATTACGTAAAAAAATATATTACGCGCTACCCTATAATATTTTGAAGAGTATCTCGAAGAATAGAATATCCAGATAAGTATAATACCATTCATACTTTCCAAAAGCCGTAAATCACAAAAAGATACACACGTTACATTAAAAAAAAAAAAAAATTGGGAAAGATATAATATTCCTATTTCTTAACACATTCGTTGCTCAATTTTATTAAAAACAAAAACTAACAAAGAAGAAAATGTCCTTACATGTTTATCCGATCGAATATCTAAACGGATGCAATTTATATATACCTTCCAAAACCGAGGAAATCTCCAATATTTAAAAATACGCTCACGGATTACATTAAGAGAAAAAAAGAACTTATCGCTAAAGAAAAATACACACGAAAAAAGAATGAAGGAGATATCGTTCTATATTTCCAGCCTTTCTCGCTGCATCATATTTTGCGCGAAGGGGTTAACCAACTCATCGCCCTTTGCTATTTCCCTCAACGCTCGAACCAACGTGTTCCACGAGTATTTCACAGACTTACCTCGGTGTGACCGAAGGGAAAACGCGTTTTAATAATTCCTCGCCTTTGAATGAAAAAATCGCACCACGAGCTATTCGGTGAATCGTAAAAGGATGCCTCCTTCGAGCAAAGTTGTTCGTTGTCTCCAGTAACGCGATATCCCTTCCGTCGGTGACCTCTTCGCCGCTTGGCTTTCCGTTTCGTCCTGCAAGGCTTGTCAGGAATCCTTCGTCTCACGCCGAGGAATATTATATTGTAATATTTATCGCCGCGAACGGCGAGCGTATATTACCGGCGTCGAATGGGTGACGTGCCAAGCTGACGGCGGGACGACCTGCGAACACAACCACCATAGGGTTCTTAACATTCCATAGGTCGGCAAAGGCGCGACTTCGGCGCTTATTAGGCTGGAGGAAGCGGAGGACGCTGTTAAAGTCGCCTTTACGGAGGATGCTACGAAGATATTGTCCGACGTTCATGGGGGAACGTCGCTGGCGCGTGTTTGAGGGCGCAGGATTGTCCTAAGCGAGGCGGAAACGATGGTCTCAAGGCTATGGTGGAGTCGAGCTCGATATTAAAGCGTTGAGTTTGGTTCGCTTGGAATTTGAAGGAAATTCGATGGATAAAGACGGGTTTCCACGTGGTAGTCGATAGGAGAATATTTTTTGAAGAAGTTTTCGAAAATTTTTAGGGTTTCTAGTTCTGAATAACGCGAGGACGGTGCTTTTGAGGCTACGGTGGAGTTGAGCTTGGATCAAAGCGTTGGATCCGATTCGTTCGCAGTTTGAAGAACGTTCTATGAATGAAAATGGATTTCCATAAGATCTTTGATAAAAAATTTTTAGAATTTATAGGATTTTTAGTGCTGAATGAGACGAAGATGGTGTTTTTCGAGACTATGGTGAAGTCGAGCTTGAAATCAAAGCGTTCTGTTTGCTTTGTCCCAGGTTTGAACTGGGAATTGATAGAAATTGATTTGCAAAAGTGTTCGATGAGAATTTTCTAGACTTCGAAATTGAAAAATTGGATAGTTTTCGGTGAAATATGTTCGATAATGAATATTGCTTCGATATGACAGCAAGTTGAATTTCATACGTTTTTGTCTTTTGATCTTTATTGAAAACTTTTATTCTAAATTCCCAACGATATTCGTAAGACGACGAATGTTGTTCTTTTTCAAATTATTTCAACAATTTTTAACACAGTTGCGAAACGTCGAAAAATGATAATTCTTCAAAGAATTACAAATTCTTTCAGACCACAATTCGAAATTCTAAACCCATTTTTAGCTCGGCTCAATAAACATCTATCAAGGTCTATATCGACGAACGAATTTCTGGTGGGCAGTAACGAGTTCTTATTTTTAGTGCGAAACGCATGTGCGATACCGATGGTTAGATGTGGTCGTGTGTATATATATACGCACATATAACAGGCAGTTCATCCAAGAGCGGATTTATCTGCTGTGCTCCCTCCGCGCACCCACGTCGCATGGTAATGCAATAATTGACCTTTTCGCCGGGTCGATGGAGAGGAACGCAAAAACGGGTTGACGCCGGAGACAACTATTTCGAGCGCGCGTGTCAGAAGCATGAAAATTCGTGCGCGGGCGTGTGAGAAAGCTTCTGTGAAAATTGGAAAAGGCATCTGGCTGAGAGGATCTCTTCTATCCGCGAAAAAGCTCGTTGAAAAACTATGGACGACATTCGACCGAAATACCGGAGACGTTGTCGTTCGAATTTTCATATTTCTGTTTAGTTTGTTAGTGTTTCTTCGTTATTTATTTAACTATAATGAAATAATCTTGTTTTTAGTATACTTATGTAACGTTTTAACTCTTTCAATAAGATATCAGCTTTTTATATTTAGGTCAAAGTTGATTTGATTGATAAATAATACAGCGTGTTTAAGTATGACTAATTTGTATATACAATGGTTTTTCTGTTCAACATCTTTTAACACATTAATAAAAATTATATACCGAGATACTGAGTTTTCATCGGTTATAATTATACGACTTTTCGCGTTGATTACTTCTTGAACGTTTTTTCCTCGCCATTATAAATTGCGGAGGTATAGTAAAGGGAACATTTTTACATTTTACACTGTATTTCTTCATAATTCAGTTTTTTCTAGGTATTTTATGAAAAATTTGTAGAAACATTAATAGTTAAATCATAAGACACTGTAATTAAAAATACTTTTTTTCTTTCCAATAAAATATCCTTCGACACTGTCTCTCTAAACTTCCTGCTTCCGTAAAGAAACAATTCAAAGTATCTGCTTCCTTCTCTATTCTATATTTTATCCCTTCCTTTCCATTTCTCAGAGCCAAATAAGACAGAAAGAAAAGAACGTAAAGGCTGTCAACCATCGCGACAAAATTCACATCCAAGCATCGTTCCTCCGGACTTTCAACTTTCACTCGGCGACATCCGCCGGTGCAATTAAAGACGGGGCCCTCTCTCCCGGGTCACCATTGACCTCTGTCGCAAGGACGTCGCGGTTCCGTTCGCCTTATCAAGAAAAATCGCCACGACGCAAGGGCACAGCAATATCTGGACCGTTCGACCGTGAGACGAACCCTGAATAATAGTCTTGCGAATCGTCTGGCTAGCGCGTATAGTGATTCAGCGACGAATCACCTCGCGTGGCCTCGCCTCGAAACTTCAACCTGAAAATTCGTTTGCAGTTGCCCCTCGTTTAAGGACAAGAATACAGGAGACGAGACGATTTTTCACCACTACGTATGCTGATCGAAGCTTCGTGTAGCACTTCATTTTATAGATTTACGTAGACAAAATAAAAAATAAAAAATATGTATCGATTATCGATACTCTATAAATGACTCGAGAGACTTGTGCTATTAATGAGACTTATGACATAATTATAACATCATTGACTCGCGTAACGCGTATGCTCGTGCAATATCATAATTTTGCCAAGATAATTAAAAATGTGGAAGCTAGTTAGAAAATTGGTTTTTCCATTAAACATTACAACGAGTATATCGTAGCTTTGGTATGTTACGTACATTCGCTTACTACGTGCATTCTGTGCGTATTTCTACGTAAACGCATAAAAATCCGCTGTCTAGTGATCAGCTTGCAGTTTGCACGCGCTGGATCTGCGCGAAGGCAGATCGTATCTGCTCCCTTGGAACGTATCAATTGTACAACATGTGCGCTCGCGCGCGCACGCTCGATAAATCAACATCAAGCCAGGCGATGTACAAACAAGTGTTCCATGGTGTATCCCGGAGAATCGAGACTTCGTTTCCTTTTTTCCATCCTGCTCTGTGTTTTTTCACCAGGTACTGTCTCTGTCGTTTTGTAGGGCGTACGAGCCTAGATGCATTCCGTGGATGTGAATCACTGCAGCGCGGGCTAAAATAATTGGACGGTAAGTAGACTTCAAGGCGAGACGTTTCTTTTTCCTCTCTTCTTCATTCTTATCGTTTTCCTTTTACCAGGGTCGTCGATTCGATAATATTGGGCTAATATTATCGCTGAAACTTCACAATTAAGAATTCATCATCGCGCGCTAATAGATTACGGCGATTACAAGAGAAGGGAATTTGACATTCCTTGAACAAGCTTTCCTTTTGACGAGTAAAAGTTGTACCCTCGTCGTAAACCATAGCCATCAAGCTGTCAATGTAGGTACACGATACGTTTCATTGTTCATCGTGCCACCAACGACGAGTTAAACAGTCTCTTTTCGAACGCAGATCGCTTAAAAATCGTTCGTATCCCGCTTTGGCGAATTGGTAACGGGCAAATTATTAACATTGGCGCTGAACTGTGAATATTTATGAGAATCTGTATTTTTATAAACGCGAATAAGGAACTGGAACCTAAGCAGAAATTGTACGAGTCACGAGTTACAGACTGTCGGGTTACGAGTTATAAAATTGTGTCGAAGTCGTACTACTCTTGTGTATCGGTTTCAAGATACGTGTGACATAGTATTAAAATGCATATGGTTATTTGGCCGACAACCAACAGCTGGCTGTTTACGTTTATTTATGCATCCAGCAACACGTTAATTTAAAATTATTCCACCGACAAGATATAATCGTTCACGACATAAAGTTGCAATAATAATGTGTTACCATAGATCGTTCTTTTGATGTACAGCCTATGAACTGTTATTTATCGACGCACTCAATGATGAGAAAGTACCTAATGTTTGTAGGAAGCGGCATGGAAACGTACGATAATAACGTACACGACTTTATATTAGCGAAAGGCGTGCCTTTTAACAATTGAACATTCGTTAATTTATATTAATTGAACGTCTATTTGCACTTTATTAGTGTGACTATCACGACATTGATAATAACGCAAATCGCAATGTGGTCTTGTTTTCATCGGTAAAAATGGAAAAAAGAAACAAATGGATTAAATGTACCAATAAATATTTATATCAGAATAGAGTAAATCAACGGAAGAGATTAAAATAAATAAACGTAGGAATGTTTATTAATTCCATCGTTTGTCGAAAGTAAATCTTTTATCTCGAGATGTTTCACTCTAAAAGTCTTCATCTTTGCTGTAAAATTTTGCAAACACGAAGGCCCGAAACTTCTTCGATAATGTTTCCTTCAGATTCATCCTATGTATTTGTAAATATTTTAGAAGATCCGTACATTCCAATATTCTCAACATTTATGCATTCGCGTAATCAAGTAACGCAACTGGTCTAAAATTAGGCCAAGTAAGTCTGCCAGTCTGCTCCTCCCGCATCATCGATATTAATTTATCCCCTTCCAACTGGCGAAAAATCTTCGTTGCTCGCGATCTACTCGTAGTAGATTGGCCCGTAAGTAGCCAGACCAAACCCACTTTGCCAGCCCACATCATCGGCATCGCTCTAATTTCCAGCTAAGCGAAACCTTGCTTTTCCATGAAACCATTACCGCGATAATCGTTCTTCGGCTGTTTCTAAATTATACGTGAGCGACAAATCGTGAAGTGGGTGGCCAGCCTACGAAATAATACATCTGCGACTCGTACATTCGTCCAGGGGATTATTAAAGACACTTAGAGAATTTTAGCATACTTTCCAAATTGCAAATTGATAATGTTAAGTGGTAAGCTTTAATGGTAACTTACTATTTGTACGACCTACGACAACGACTAGCTTCGGTAGGTCGTAATGGAGTTTGGTTGGATTCTTTGAATCGATTTAAGCGCTGCCAATGTAACGACAGGTTGTTTCTTTTATCGATACATACCGCTATGATTGTGTAAATCGCTAACGTGTTCGAATCGAATCGTTAGCACGACGATACTCCGCTTTCTGTCGTTGTTTTTCATTCTATCCAATGCT